TTTCAGGGAGGTTGAGGCAACCCACACGGGATATTTGCCTTTGGGTGTCCTCCTGAACCTTGAGCTTTGAGAAGAAAACTGGTTCTTGAAGTCTTGAAGATACTTTTAGTCAAACAATGGTCCAGATACACTAGTAAGACCATTTTGCTCTGGGTATTGAGTTTTTTTTTTTTTTTTTTTGAAGAATTCAGTCTGTTTTAGGAAACTAACTTCAAAGATCAGACAAGAGTTATGTTTAGGGTAAATTAGTAACTACTATAATCAGTCTTTAAGACAATGTCGTAATGTTTGTAATCAAACTGTCACCCTCTTACGATGCAGAAAATTATGTATCTTAAAGAAACCAGATTCTCAGAAGAGATCGACATCATGGCTCAGACTCCGTTCTATCTTTGGTTCCATTTCTGCTTCTGAGAAAGTGACTCATGACAATAGGTGAACCACGGAAGGGCAGCTTGCCCTTGGGAAGAACACTTAGTATGTTTTAAACAGACTAACTGAAGACCTCCTACAGGAAAGGCCCATCCTGTATTATCTTGCTTATCATTAGTTCTCTAATGAAAACTTGTCACATGTAAATTTTTCTATACCTTCTGTTTCTTTTAGACAAACTTTGTGTGCTTCTTATGGATATATGTTTCTGGGTGATAGGTCCAACTATACTAATTTAGATGATCCTTTCCAACTGATAGTGAATTTATGTGGGCAATCGCTTGTTTAGATTGCTGACAAATGTGTAGACAATGCACTCTGAGAACTTTAGGATTATCTTTAAGGATTCATAGTAACAATGCTAGTAAATATTGAAAAGGCAATGTTAAAATTGTAAAATAAAAGTCAGAAGAAAACCCACTGGTCCAACATTCAGGTATGGTTGGTAGCTTTAATTCCTACTTATGGTATATCTGAGTTGGAGAAATCTTTAAGAAAAATTTGTCAGTCACTATGGGACAAATAACAGATGAGATAGAAGCACAACAGTGATCTCTGATCTCATAAGCCAAGGTGACATGAGATAACAAAATAACCTTAGATTTTTTTTATTAGTCCAAGAAAGTGTCGTCTGTGCTGTAGACAAGATATACATAGAATTAGACAACAAGCTACTTGATTACACATTGTCACATCCTTACAAACACCAGATCTATTTGGTTGGTTACCATCAGGAATAAGTACATGGGCTAGATCACTACTGCAAGGAATAGTAATATTCTTAGTCTACATCCTGATAGTATTAGGCATTACAAAATTTATCCTCTATTGTCTTACACATGTAAAAGGCAAAAGAAGGCCTCAGGCTAAAATGTTGATGTACATTGAGTCTGCTCACTCCGGCAATGCTATTGATGGGAACATCGCTCTTACTTAATAACCTGGTGAAGAACCAGATGCTATCTGGTGGAAAACCAGCACCGTGCGTTTAAAGAGCCTGCAATGGCCGACATCTAGGAGCTCAACTAAGTCCAGGTATTGATCATCGATGTGTTATCTCCAATCTCCGATCAAAAGGAGGGACTGATTTAGGAAATAATACTGGATTATTCCCTCTCCTTGAGCATACAGAATGTAACCCAGCTGAAGCTGGGCTCACAAGGGCTCAGAAGGATTCACAAGGACACATCAACTGGGCCCTGAGGTATAAAGACAACAGCTAAGATAATCTTGGAAAACATCTTAAGGAAGTTTTCACAAAAGCCCATCAAACAGAACACAAAAGACTTTCTACTCTTATCTTTTTCTATTAGCATTTAGTGAATAGAAATTTGTTGGACCAAGGAAGACCCTCCTGACTTTCATAACTGAAACCTGTACCAATGATTGTTAAGAAAGATGATTCAAAATGTAAGATTATAATTTCTAGCCAATCAATGAAAAAGTGATGCTTTCAATGATTCTACCCATTCTGTGATGTTGATATATACTGATGATTCTGTAACCTTCCTTGGACTCGGGGAGACATGGCTGTGGCAGCATGCTTGTCCTTTTTCCCATTTTTGCCTGTTCTGTAATATTCTTTGGATTTGGGCAGACATTCTAGCTCTGGCAGCATGCTTGCTTGTCCGCTTCCCACTTTTGTCCTTCTGAATATATGCCAAATAAAACTTTCTTTTTACTTAAAAAAAAAAAAACACCCACTCCTCACTTATCGATATGGTTAGGCTCCAAAGCCCAAGTTGTTATGTGCAAATTGGCGTTATGTGAAAACGTAGGATGACCACGTCAGAACACAAAATGGAGAAAGACTACATCATTACATAACTGCCAAGTTACATCATTACATGACTGCTAAACCACTGAGAATCACAGCCCAGCCAAGCTGACATATAACCTTAACCATCACAGCCAGTGTTACTCTCGCCTCACATTTTGACATTTGATGTGGCCAGTTGTACGTCATTAATGCACAAAATAGTCAGATAGTAGATTTTTTTAACATTGCTGTAAATATGAAATACTGGATAACGAGATAGTAGGTAAATGTGGAGCAGGTGTACACTTTTAGGAGGCAGAGAAAATATTACTGAAATACACTCAATGCTAGTCTAGAAAACCAAAAAACCCCTTGCCATAGAGTTGATTCCGACTCATAGCAACCCTATAGAACAGAGTAGAACTGCCCCATAGGGTTTCCAAGGAGTGGCTGGTGGATTCGAACTTGACCTTTTGGTTAGCAGCTTGTAACTGGTAACAGGTTTGGTTTTTCGGTTTGGAGTCTAGAAAGAAATGACTCTAAAATGTAACTGTCCTGGCCCAGTTAATACAAAAAGAGCACATACTGAAGCCCAAGATTCTCATCAATCAATCCTTGAATCAATACATCTTTTGCCAACTTAAATATTTCCTGGGAGACAGCATCTGTTTGACTTTCTGGATCTCTGTTTAAAAAAAAAAAAAGAAAAGATAAATTATTAATAATCTCTCCCATCACTTTTGCTCAACCCCAATAACACTATCTAGAATTAAAGCATAAAATCCGGCCTTTCCCATGTGACTTCACTTTCCAAAATTACAGCAGAGCCACCCGTGTGCAAGCTCACAGGCCTGACACCCTCCCTCACGCCCCACAGCCCATCATGGTCGTCACCGCCGCCTACCAAGAAGTGACAGAGACTCACAGACAAAGGGGCGAGAAGGTGAGGGGTAGTAGAAGTGGAAATGAGGGGCTGGAAATGCTAAGAGGTTCTAGAAAAGGTCTGAGCCCCCCAGGAGGTGGTGAAATGGCGTTTATGAAAATCACCCCGGCAGAGTTTATTTCTTTAACCTTGTCAGAGCTTACAGGATAAACATGAGAAGAAATTTTGTAAGCATTTATATTTTTAACTCAACCAATAATTTCACTTTCTGAATATTGCCCCCACACATGCATAAACATGAATTAAAGTAAGGATACATTTTAATATACTAAAATAAAATCGCTTTAATGTATTAATAATATGGCTCTTGTTGTTAGCTGCCATCGAGTCGGGCCCCCAACTCATGGTGATCCCATGCACAAAAGAACAAAATGCTGCAGTTGTAGTTTGGACCATTGTGCCCTATTGGATTTTCACTGGCTAATTTTCAGAAGTAATCACCAGGGCTTTCTTCTTAGTCTGTTTTAGTCTGGAAGTTCCACTGAAACCTGTTCAGCATCATAGGAACACAAAAATCTCCACTGAGACAGGAGGTGGCTGTGCATGAGATGCATTGTCCAGGAATCAAACTCAGTTCTCCTACATGAGAGGGGAGAATTCTACCACTGAACCACCACAACCCCAATACTATGATAAAAAGTATTTCATATCTGCATTCTTATTATGTTACAGACTGCAAAGGTACCGAAATGACTCCTAAAAATGAATAAAATGTTACAGACTGAATTGTGTCCCCCAAAAATATGTGTTGCAAATCCTAACCTCTAGGCCCGTGGTTATAATCCTATTTAGGAATGGTCTGTCTTTGTTATGTTAATGGAGCAGGATCAGTGTAGGTTATGTCATGAGTCAATCACTTTTGAAATATAAAAGACATTAAAACAAGCAAGCAGGAAAAGCAGAGATGGGGGAATACTGATGCCAAGTCACATGGAGATCTCTCAGGAACCAGGAAAAAAGCTGAAGACACAAGGACCTTCCTCCAGAGCCAACAGAGAGAGAAAGACTTCCCTTAGAGCCAGCACCCTGAATTTGGACTTCTAACGTCCTAAACTGTGAGAAAATAAATTCCTGTTTCTTAAAGCCATTCACTTGTGGTATTTCTGTTATAACAGTGCTAGATAACTAAGACAGAATTTGGTACAGAGAAGTGGGGGTACTGCTCTAACAAACATCTACAATGTGGAAGTGATTTTGGAATTGGGTAACAGGTAGAGCCTGGAAGAGTTTTAAGGTGCCTAACAGTAAAAGCCTCATAGTGATCCTACAGGGCAGAGTAGAACTGACCCATAAAGCTTCCAAGGAGCAGCTAGAGGATTTGAACTGCCAACTTTTTGGTTAGCAGCCATAGCTCTTAACAACTGCACCACCAGGACTCCAAGTAAGCACACTCATAAGTAAATTTTATCAGAGCTTAGTAGATAACATGAGGATAACATAGGGTTGCTGAGTTGGAATCTACTCGACAGCAACAGATTTTGGTTTTTATTAATAATAAAAACCTACATTGCCTTGAAGAGACTGTTGCTAGAATTATGGATGTCAAAGACAATTCTGGTGAGGGCTCAGAAGGAAGTGAGGACAGGTACAGAGAAAGTCTCCATCATCTTAGAGAATACATATGGTGCCAACAACAGACTGCTGCTAGAAATATGGACGTTAAGTGTGCTTCTGGTGAGGCTTTAAAAGAAAATGATGAACATGTGATTGGACAATGGAGAAGGGTGATGTTTTTTATGCAGTAGCGAAGAACTTGTCTGAATTATGTTCAAATGTTTGGTGGGAGGTAGAACTTTTAAATGGTGAACTGGATTTTTAGCTGAGGACATTTCTAAGCAAGGTCTTAAAGGCGTCAAGTGGTTTCTCCATGCCACTTATAGTAAAATGTGAGAGGAAAGGGAAAGAGACAGACTTTAAAATGAACTGTGCAAAATGAAAACAAAACATAAAGATCTGGAAAATTCTGTTGTACAAACTAGGGACATTGTGTCCTAAAATCTTCACCACGGACATGGCTACACAATCTTTCGACTGATGGATATAACCAACTACCATAGCAGAAAATCCATCAGTTAGACTGGGATGGGACAGAGAAAGAACAAAAGGAAAGAACACTGTCTGCCTCTTGGAATTCTATAGGCAGGAAACAGGCCAAAGGAGTTACATCTGTTGTCCTCCAGAAAAAGAAAAGGACAATTCCTGGAGCAGCTCATGATCAGTAAAACTGCTGGAAGGAACACAGGAAGCAGGGCCTCCTCAGTTTCAAAGGGTGGGGACAGAGTCTCCTGGATCTCAAAGGTTAGGGCCACACAGCCTCCTAGGTTTCAAAGAGTTGGATCTTTGCCAATTTGGTTCCGGAGTATGGGGCTGCTGTTAAGGTGTGCCAGGAGGATGGTGCTGCCACCTAAAGCTGAGAGAGTGGGGCTTCCATGCCCAAGAGGCAGAAGAATGGGGTCTTCCAGGGCCAAAGGGTGGTGTCATCACTCAGATGGACTAGGTGAATGAAGCCACCTAAAGTCAAGGGAGCAGAGGTGCCTTCTTAGTGGGCCTAGAAGGCTGAACTGAAGCCAAAGGCAGAGGGGCCTCCACTCAGAATCCAGAGAGCATGGCCAACACCCACAGTTTGGAGTACAGGACCACTGCCTAGATGGTCTCAGAAAAGAGAGGATTATTTTCAAGCCTTGAAAGCTAATGTAATTTGTTCTGTTGGGTTTTGGACTTGCTTAGTGCCTGTTATCCCTTCTTTCCCTCCAATTTCTTCCACGTGCAATGGAAATATCTACCTTGTGCCTGGGCCACCAATGTACTTTCGAAACAGGTAACTTGTAGTCTACATTTCACAGGTTCACAGATGAAAAGGAATTTTGTCCCGGGATGGAATGTGCCTAAATTCTCGCCCATAGTTGATTTAGATGATTCAGAAGATAAGATTTTAGACCTGGAGTTGATTTAAGACTTTTGGGATGATGTGGTGGGGTGACTGTGATTTACATGTGGCAAGGACATGAATTTTGGGAGGCCAAAGGGTACAATGCTATGGATTGAATTGTGTCTCCTAAAAATAGGTGTTGTAAATCCTAACCTCTATGCCTGTGGTTATAATCTCATTTGGGAATGGGTTGTCTTTGTTATATTAACGAGGCAGGATTAGTATAGGGTATGTCTTGAGTCAATCTCTTTTGAGATATAAAACAAGCAAGCCAGAGAAGCAAAGATGGGGGAATGTTGATGCCAAGCTACATGGAGATCTCCAAGGAACCAGGAAACAAGTTTAAGAGGCAAGGACCTTCCTCCAGAGCTGACAGAGACAGAAACTTTCCCCTAGAGCCAGCAGACTGAACTCAGAATACAAGTCGCCTAACTGTGAGAAAATACATTTCTATTTGTGAAAGCCACCCATTTGTGGTACTTCTGTTATAAGAGCACTAGATAACTAAGACATAACATAAAATGTCACACAGCTTACCTGTAATTGTCATGAATCCACATAAGAATATTATACATTTGTTCCCTACATGTTGGAGAGGGATGGGAAATGAATTCTACTACAGAATTCAGAAGTTCTCGAAGTTCTACAGGTTTCAATCTTGCCATCATCTTATAAATTATATCCAAACATACTTTTTGTCTTTCATCATCTCTATAAAAAGAGAAATTTTTAAAAATATACAAATTTAACAATTTTACTATTGTACTTTCAAAGTAATATAGATATAATTACATCTACTATAAGAAAATTTGTTATAATAGTTATGTAATTTAAAATCACAGTATTATTCTTGAAAATAATTATCACAGGCCAGATTATTAAAAATAAACAACTTAATTCAATGTGGTATCCCAAACTGAATCCTGGAAAACAAAGACATTAGTGCAAAAATTGGTAAAATCCAAATAGAGTCTGTAGTTAAATTAATGGTAATGTACTAACGCTAATTTCTTAGTTTTGACAAGCATGCCATGCTTGTGTAAGAAGGGGAAACTGTGTGAAGCGTACGTGGAGACGCTGTATTATCTTTCAATTTTTCTGTAAATCTAAAATTATTCCAAAATCAAATCTTATTTAAAAGCAAAAAACAAAAAACTCTGATAAGATTAAACAAATTAACTGAACTATAAAGGATTTCATGATTTAAAAAAATGATTCAAAATCCTAGTCAGACCACCTGGCATGCCATGTAGTGGGGCTCAGTGCAGACTGGATCCTAAATACAGCACAACTGACATCCTTGTTCTGTGTGTCTTTCACTATTTGAAGCCTCACACCTAGTGGATACTCATCAAATAGTTATTGAAGGATACAGAACACAATCACATACATTATTTGTTGCTGCCACATTACAAATTTATCAATGATTTGTCATTATGTAAAAAAATACGTATATAGATCAGGACTGGAAAAAAGTACAGAGAAATAAAAATAATGTAATTTAGCAGGTTTTTCTTTTAAAATTTACGTTAGTGCTTTTTATGAGTCCCCCCAAAATATACACTGAAGTCCTCACCCTTGTACCTGTAAATACAACCCCTTCAGTTTTCTTTGGTTATGTTAATGACGTTATGTCAAAGTGGGGTGGGTGAAAGAGGCAGGTTGTCAGCAGCTATTAGAAGCTGAAAGAGACAAAAAAGGGCCTTCCCCTGGAGTTGATGCTCTGAATTTGTCTACGAGTTTCCGTAACTGTGAGACAATAACCTCCTGTTCTTTAAAGCCACTCTGTTGTGGTATTTTTTGTTATGGCAGCATTAGAGAACTAAGAAAGAATTTGGTGCCAGAAAATGGGGGTGCTGCTCTAATAAATACCTAAAAATGTGGACATGGCTTTGGGACTGGGTAATGGATAGAAGCTGGAATTGTTAGGAGGTGCTTGATAGTAAGAGCCTAGATTGTCTTCAGGAGACTGCTGGTAGATTTATGGACACTGAGGATTCTGCTGAGGGTTAGAAAAAAAATGAGGAATCCTGCAGAGAAAGCTTCTACTGTGATAAACAGAGTGTTGCTAGAAACGTGGGGGCTAAATGTGCTTCTAATAAAGCTTTAAAAGGAAATAAGGGACGTGATATTGGACACTGGAAGAAATGTGACCCTTGTTATAAAGTGGCAAAGAACTTACCTGAATTATGTTCAAATGTTTTGTGGAAGGTAGAACTTGTAAGTGATGAACTTGGCTATTTGGTTGAGGAGATTTAAAAGCAAAATACTGAAGGGGCAGTGTGGTTTCTCCTTCCTGCTTATAGTAAAATGCAGGAGGAAAGAGACAGATGCAGAAATGAACTGTGCAAAAAACCAACCAAACAAACAAACCCCAGAACTTAAAGATTTGGAAAACTCTGTTGTAAAAACTAAGAGAGCATCATGAGTTGGATCAACTCGACGGCAACGGGTCTTGTTTTTTGGCCCTGGAAAAGACAGCAAGGTGTGGCTACACAATCTTTTGCTAAAGAGTCTAAGCCTGTGGCCGATGGATCTAATCAACCACCTCAGCAGAAACCTTAACAGCTTAGACTAAAAAAGACAGAGACAGGACAAAATGAAAGAAAGCTGTCTTCCTCCTGGAATTTCACAGGCAGTAAAGGGATCAATGGAGCAGTTAGTCCCTGACTTATGATGGAGTTATGTTCCGACAGCTCCATAGTAAGTCAGTTCTAACATAAGTCAAATACTTCTTTTTCTTTTTTTTAGTTTTTATCATTATTGCCTTTTATCATTAGTATCTTTACAAATACGATCTTTATTGTCTTTGGGAGTTGGAAACATTACCTATAAACTTACAGATACATTTTAATACATATATGTATACATAAAAAGATACACAAATCATAAAAATTTACTCTGACAGTGAAGAATTGGATAATACTGGCATTTTATCAGTTGTGGTAATAATTCCACTTATGAAAGGTTCTGGATCATCTGGATTATCTCTGGGAACGGGGATGGTGTTTCTAGTCAGAAAATTAGTGACAGTTGTATGTATGGTCCTTTTCTTTTCTTCTTCATATATTTCACAGTAACACTTCACTGCTTCCCAAGTCTGCCTATCAACTTTAGCAAAGTGATCAGCTTTGCGTCCATGTTTTCAAGCAACTGAAGTCCCTATTTAGTTTAGGAAAACCTCAACCTAATCCTTTCACTGTAAAATTTTTGACAACTACTCTCCTTCCTCTTCCTCATTATTTCTTTCTTCTTCAGCATTTCTATCCTCTTCAAAATCCACTAAGTACTGATCTGTCAATTCCCCCTCTTCGTGATCTATGAGCCATTCCACACTGGCAATATGAAGTTCTAAATTCAGTGTTCTTGCCAAATGGACAATGTTTCCACCAATTTCTTCCATCATGTTATCCTGATCAAATGCTTGGAGCGTATTCACACAACTCAGCAATTTTTTTCCATACCCCCTACATGCTTTCTTCCATAACTTCTTCCCAGGAAGATGTACTAACAAAAAGACGTACCAAAAGAAAAAGAACAGTCGGAAGTGAGGTTTGTCGTAAGTTGGGGACTACCTGTACTTGGCTGAGAACATCTGCTGTCCTTCAAGAAAAGGGACCGACCATCCTGGGAGCAGTTCAGAGACCTGCTGCCAGAAGGAGTGGAGGGGTGGGGCAGGGCCACAGTTTCCTCTGCTTCAAAGGGTGGAGTCATCATCTTGGTTCCAGAAGATGGGACTGCCATTCCAGTGGGCCAGGAGAATGGGGTCACCCAAAGCCAAGGGGGCGGGGTCACCACCCCAGGGGGCCTAGGAAGCAAGGCTCCTGCCCAGAGTTTGGAGGATGGGGCTGATGTCCTTGAGAAAAGAGGGCTTTCAAGATTTGAGATCTAATGAGATTTGCCCTGCTTGGTTTTGGACTTGCTTCGTATTTGTTATGGATTGAATTGTGTCCCCCAAAAACATGTGTTGTAAATCCTAGCCTCTATACTTGTGGAGGAAACCTAGTGGCATAGTGTTTAAGAGCTATGGCTGCTAACCAAAAGGGTGGCAGTTCAAATCCAGCAGGTGCTCCTTGGAAACTCTATGGGGCAGTCCTACCCTGTCCTATAGGGTCGCTATGAGTTGGAATTGACTTGGCAGCAATAGGTTTGGTTTGGTTTTTTTGATACTTGTGGATGTAATCCCATCTGGGTTTTCCTTATTATGTTAATAAGGCCATAACAGTGTAGGGTGTGTCTTATGCCAATTGCCTCCAAGATATAAGACAAGCAGATTAAGGAAGCAGAGATGGGGAAAGAGAGATGCCAAGCCACATGAGAACTGCCCAGGAGCAAAAGCTCAGAAGAGACAAGGGCTTTCCTTCGGAACCAACAAGAGAGAGAAAGCCTTCCCCTAGAGTCATGTAAGAGAGAAATTTCCAGTAAATTTTTGACCAGAGTAAATTGTAAAAAACTAAAATCCATGTTCCTACTGCTTTTAGCAGAATTAAAACTGAAATTAGCAATGCCTGCTTTTAGGCTCTTCTTCTAGCATAGCGATCATAGGCAGTTATAGAGGTATTTTCTCTGCAGACAAGCCAAGATGTGAAAGAAATGCATTCCAAGGAAGGGAATTTGATGCCTCTGTCCAGCCTTATCTGAAGCTCCCAGGCAACCAGAAAGGTTTCATTTAAATAAGCAAAGCTTAAAGGAGAGAGGGGAGACATAGTGCCAGTGAGACCTGATAGTGGACATCTCCAAGAAATACTCTGCATCAAAGATGGCAGCCCCAGGAATGCTTTACTTCAAATAAAATACTTTTATGACCTATTCTAGAAATGTGTATAGTACATTCTGTGCCTTTGATTTGCAAACTCTGTGCCCGCCCTAAGTTTCTATGGGCAACCCTTGTAACCAATCCTATAGTCCATTTGTATAATGTACCCAGTAGAAGTCCTTTCCCTGTCTATGACCTCATTTAAATACTAATTGATTATGATTTTTTTGGAACTTCATGCCTTAGCCCTGTATAACGTTTGTTCTAAGACCCTTTCACTGAAAATAGCTGTTTTCATTTATGTGAGCTGGTGGTTTCCTTCATCCAGATGAATCTTCATGCTGAATAAATCCTCTCAATTTTAATTTCAAGGCCTGAGGGGTTTTTTGCTACAACAGTTGGCACCCTGAATTCGAACTTCTAGCATCCTCAACTATGAGAAAATAAATTTAAAGTCATCCACCTGTGGTATTTCTGTTATAGTAGCACTAGATAACCAAGGTTTTCACTGGCTAATTTTTTCAGAAGTAGACCACCTGGTCCTTCTTCTTAATCTGGAAGCTCTGCTGAAACCTGTCCAGTGGTGGCCCCACTGGTATTTGAAATACCGGTAGCATAGCTTCTAGCATCCCAAGAACATGCAAGCCACCACAGTACAACAAACTGACAGATGTGTGAGGTGGACGTCCAACCATTTTAGGAGGTAGCATATGATCAAGAACCGGCAGTACAGAAGGAAGAGGTGCAAGTGGCACTAAAGGCACTGGTGAAAAACAAGGCTCCAGGAATTGAAGAAATACCAATTGAGATGCTTCAATAAACAGATACAGTGCCGGAAGTGCTAATTTCCCTGTGCCAAGAAATTTGGAAGACAGCTACCTGGCCAACTGACTGGAAGAAATCCATATTTGTGTCCATTCCAAAGAACGGTGATTCAATGGAATGTGGAAATTATCAACAGTATCATTATAATCATACACAAGCAAACTTTTGCAGAAGATCATCCAAAAGTGGTTAAAGCAGTATATCGACAGGGAACTGCCAGAAGTTCAAGCTGGATTCAGAGGAGGATGTGGATATCACTGCTGATGTCAGATGGATCTTGGCTGAAAGCAGAAAATACCAGAAAGATGCTGACCTGTGCTTTATCGACTATGCAAAGGCATTCGACTGTGTGGATCATAACAAATTAGGGATAACACTGTGAAGAATGGCAATTCCAGAACACTTAATTGTGCTCATGCAGAGCCTGTACATAGATCAAGAGGCAGTCGTTTGAACAGAATAAGTGGATACTGCATGGCTGAAAGTCAGGAAAGGTGTGCATCAGGGTTGTATCTTTTCACCATGTTTATTCAGTCTGTATGCTGAGAAATATGTGAGAATCTTGACTATATGAAGAACAGGGCATCAGGACTGGAGGACGACTCATTAACAACCTGCGTTACGCAGATGACACAAGCTTGCTTGCTGAAAGTGAAGAGGACTGGAAGCACTTACTGATGAAGATCAAAGACTATAGCCTTCAGTATGGATTACACCTCAACTTTATGTTGTCCTCACAACTGGACCAATAAGCAACATCATGATAAACGGAGAAAAGATTGACGTTGTCTAGCACTTCATTTTACTTGGATCCACAATCCATGGAACAGCCATCAAGAAATCAAAAGACGCACTGCACTGAGCAAATCTGCAAAAGACCTCTTTAAAGTGTCAAAAAGCAAATATGTCACTTTAAGGACTAAGGTGTGCCTGACCCAAGACATGGTGTTTTCAATCGCCCCATATGCATGTGAAAGCTAGACAATGAATAAGGAAGACCAAAGAAGAACTGATGCGTTTGAATTATGGTGCTGGCGAAGAATACTGAATATACCATGATCTGCCAGAAGAACAAACAAATCTGTCTTGGAAGAAGTAGAGCCAAAATGCTCCCTAGAAGCAAGGATGGTAAGACTTTGTCTCCCATACTTTGGACATGTTATCAAGAGGGACCAGTCCCTGGAGAAGGACATCATGCTTGGCAAAGTAGAGGGTCAGCGAAAAAGAGGAAGACTCACAATGAGATGGATTGATACAGTGGCTGGAACAATGGGCTCAAGCACAGCAACAACTGTGAGGATGGTGCACGACCAGGCAGTGTTTCGTGCTGTTGTACACAGTGTCGCTATAAGTCAGAACCAGCTTGACGGCACCTAACAACAACAGATAACCACGACAGTCTGTAAGCCCTTCTTTCCCTTTTGCAATGGGAATGTCTGTCCTATGCTTATACTGTCACTGTATTTAGGAAGTCAATAACTGGTATACCTGGTTTCACTGGTCCACAAATGGAGAGAAATTTTCCCCAGGATGGAAAACACCCAGAGTCTCAGCCATACTTGATTTAGATAATTCAGAAGATGAAATTTTGGACTTGAATAGATGCTGTAATGGATTAAGACTTGTACAGATGCTGGAATAGAGTGAATGTATTTTGTGTATGAGAAAGACATAAATTTTGGGGGACAGAAGGAAGAGTTTTATGGATTGAATTGTGTGCCCCTGAAATACCTGTTGAAGTCCTAACCCCTATACCTCTGTATATGAACTCGTCTGGAAATCTGTTTTTTTCTTTTGTTATGGTAATGGGGTCATATTGGAATAGGGTGGGTCCTAAACCTAATCCCTTTTGAATGGTGTCTTATAAAAGAGAAACAGACACAGAGAGGCACCCATGCAACAGTAGACACCATGTGAAGATGGAGGCAGATGCATCCACAAGCCCGTGAGTGTCAGGGATTGCCGGCAGCTACCAGAAACTGAAAGAGACAAAGAAGAACCTTCCTTCTAACACTGACGCTCTGAATTCAACTTCTAGCCTCCACAACTCTATAACAATAAATTCCTGTTCTTTAAAGTTATCCACTTGTTTTATTTCTTGTTAAGACAACACTAGGTAACTATGCTGTATTGCAATTTTAAAAAGAAATAATTGAAGACTCATACCTGGCAAGATAAGTACAGAACTCTCACTCTTGTATTTTAAATCTGAACTAACCAGAGACACTGCCTCAGCTTCACTCCTTTGTTTAGAGATGCAATACAGGAGGCCCAAAAACGTGGCCTCCCCACGGCACCAAGTCAGAAGAAGACTACGAGGAACCAGGTCCACTTTAGGCACACATTCATTCTTTGTACTTTCTTCACTTTTCCTTCTCATATTCAAACTTGCCAAATACAAATTACATGAAAACTTACAAGTTCTTTATAAGCTGAAGGAGATATCTAAATAAATTAACATTTTGTGAGCAAGCTGAATCAAAGAACATGGCGCCTGGCCCTTCACTTACCTGTGTCTCATGATTTGCTTGAAGTCCTTGCTCTTTAGCTCCAAGTAGAGATCTGCTATTTCCTCTGCTCGACAAAGCACCACCTCCAGACACAGAGTCTTCATCACGCCGTGGAATTTTGGCAGCAGGAAGAACACCACATTCATAAACCTAACAAGGGAATATGATTCCTAAAGCGGTACAGCTCAGACCCTCTCTGACCACAGTGTGTATCGTGACTGACACCTTACCTATCAGCCAGAGGAGGGAAGTGCTGTGCAGCTTTGTTCAAGCACACAATGAACTTGTCCTCCATTGTATTCTGATGTTGCTTCAATTGTTTCACAACCAGTTCACAAATGAACTCCTCCAGTACCTGAAAAATTGAGTTTCTTGTCACATACACAAAGGTGGAAACTTAAGAACTGAAATTAAGGTTTTAATTGGCTATTTAAGAGAACCTAGAGAAGATGTCAGTGTTATCACTACACAATGTTATCAGGTGAGTCATGAGTGTGTCAGTGCTGGGACCACCAGCTGGTGTGCACTGACCACAGGTCTACTCCAGAGGCCAGGACCACAGGTGCTTGTACTTGAGTGCCAGTCATGCCTGCAGACAACCCAGGCTGGATCAGTGAAGTTCAGTGCTTCCTTCTGACACTGAGAGCCAAGAAGTCATTTGAGAAGTGAAACTAAAATTAGTGATTAACGTTGTAGAACAAACATTTCATGAATGTTCACGCCTCTGGCCATACAGTCATATAGATGAGAATGTCCAAGCAGCACTGTGTGAACTGCATCCCCTCTCACTGTGTTCCTGTATCCTGCTTTATTTCTCTCTATCCCATGTCATACCTAACACTATATTCATGTGTAGGTAGCTTGTCTCCCTCACCAAAATGCTGGCTCCTCAAGGGCAGGGACTTGGTCTGTCTGGTTCCTGCTGCGTCCCCACTAGAAAGTCCTCAATGTATGTAAGTATTCAATAGATATTACTGAATAAAGTAATGGAAAATGCTCATTTTCTTCATTAAGGCTCATCTTCTTCCTCACGAAGAATAGGAAAAGGTAGTAAGTGACCTTTCTTTTAAAAGGCACTAAGGAAACTCTTTGGGGGTACTTTTACTCTGTCCTATAGGGTTGCTACGAGTCAGAATTGACTTGACAGTAATGGGTTTGGGTTGGTTTTTTTTTTTTTTTTTTTTTTTGGTAAGGTTGGATGAATAGTTTTTCAATATAAACTTACAGTATGAAGCTATTTTAAAACTCTGCTCAAGGGAAATCCTTAACACTAAGCTATAAATATCAATTGCCTAAACCCCATGTAGAATATTATCATTACATTTTAAGACTACTGATTCATAAGATGTAAATCTTTTCATTAAAATTATTCATCTGATGACACAATGAAATAGTCACAATCTAGTAAGCAAAGAAAGCAAGTTATAAAACAAGTAAGTTGTAAAAAGTTATGTAAGAGCCTGAATAACTCATAGAGAAAACAAGTGTGTATGCTCGGCCCCGGCTGGTGACGGAGCTAGTGCTAAAAGCAGTCTAAGTGGTTAGAACACAAATTACAATTACATTCTTCATATCTTACTTTACTGTTCACAGTTCTACACTAAACAACTTTTAATATTCAGAAAAAAATCACGTAAAGTGCCTAACATTCCTATGAAGCTGAAATTTAAGTCATGAGAGAGTAACTCTGGGAATCTGTCATAACTTGTTCTGTCTGTGGTGAAAATTAACCATATTACATAAACTGAAACCTAATATTTAAGGATAATACAAGCAAAATGAAATGAGGTAATTCTGAATTTTTTAAATTTGTTTGTTTTACAAAAATAGCTAGTAATCCCTAAAACAAATTATAAATGAAGTTTGATCTTCCCAATTTAGTTTAATTTTAAATCTAAGCAAACCCATACCTGGTGAATTGAACAGGGGCTCAATATTTTGTGTTGGGCACATGTGTGCCTGCTTAAGACCACCAGACTTCTCCTTAGCCTCTCCTCACCTGACCAGACAGCAAACTGTACCTGGTCAGCTCCAGCACTACTCCTGTCTTTTCTTTCAGGAGGGGACTTGGCCCGAAGACATACCTCTGGGGATCATGAATGTACAGGCTGTTTTAAAGCGGGAGGTCAGCAGGGGAGCACTGAAGAGGAGAGGGCCAACACCAGAGCTGTGGATGTGGCTGGATAAAAACTAGCAACGGAAGGTGAGAAGATACACCCAGTGAAGTAGTGAAAATGCCAAGAGAATGTTCTAGAAGTCAGAGTGACAAAAGAAAAGCAAGGAGAGGAAGGACCTGTATCGTGCTTGAGAGACTTGGTACTTACACTGGTGATTTTGGCTTGAGCCAAGAGTCAGGCTGATCTGGAGGCTCATAAACACATAGTCCTGACTCTACCAGCACAGGAGAGTACACGTGACTGAGTGAGCCCCATTCTGCTACACTATTTTCAATTAAGTTACAATGCACTGACCCATGCAATTATACACACAACTTTAATAGCTATATTTTATTGAGGATGACAGTACTCTGAATTTGTACTGCACTTAAATTTTCCACTATGTTCTTTTCACAACCCTGGGAAGTAGGCAGTACACAAAAGACTTAGAAAGGTTCCCTGATAAGGGCCCTCTCGAGTTTAACAACTCAGTTTTTTCAAAAATTGGAAAAAGAGGATTTTATGAGAATAACTTAGTCCTAACCACAGCAGGTATCTACCAGAATAATTTTCTCCAAAATGAAACCCAGAAACCAAGTTCGGAGGCGTGAAAGCTGGTTGAACGCTGTTTCCCTGACTTCCACGATAAAAGGCAAGTCACCAATCTTGAAATGTCCCTCCAAGTTTCCAAGCACTTAAAACACTGTATGTCCTCTTTAAAAAAATGGAGCACTCTATAAAGTATAAGACTGAAATATTAATAAATGCAGAATTCCCACTGTGGTTTCTTAGGTACAGAGGAAATACATTTAAGATTCGAATGTCAAAATTCACACTAAATCAAAATTTAAGAAGTATTTATTTTAAAATTGTACAACACACTCACGTTTTCTTTTTCAGTAGTATAGCGAAGAATAAGTCCCAGAACTTCTGCTGCTGCTGTGTATACCTCTTTATGTTTTACAAAAGACATATTATTAACCAAAGCTTCAAAGTATCTACAACAAATATAGAAAAGAAAATGCCTAATCCATATTGTTGCTTGACATAAAAATATACCAACTTTCCTCGTCATGTCATATTAATAGCACAAATTTGGAAAATATGAAACCTTAAAACATGACCCAAATTATTTGTAGAAGTACATCTATGAATAAGTATTTAAGGGCTCTGGTATCATATAGGTAAAGCCCACAAGTCTACTGTTCAATTCTACAGGGGCACAAACATGCTGCAGCCAAAGTGTAACAAGATGTTGGACATCGTAAAACATGCAGAAAAAAACAAAAGAGCTATTTTTACCCAAGATTATGATTTATTGAGTCCATCTACTATAACGAGGTCTACCAGAGGACAACTGAAATGATGAGAAAGAAACAGCATGTATGCAGCACTCACATGAGACAGTTGCTATGTGTGGGGCTTCACATGTACTGATACATTTAACTTTCAACCCTCACATGACTGTGAGGTGGTTACTGATGAGGAAACCAAAGTGCAGAAAAGTTAAACAACTCATCCAAACACAAAATATTTCCAGTGGAATCTGTGTTAAGTCACTAGTTGTTCTAAGCACCAAGTTCACAACTACCAAGACTTCCAGGGGACTAGAACGTGACAGGTCACCATGTACTGGCAGTATTATGTTCTCCTGCACAAAGTAATAGCATATGATTATCATGTGTGACATCATGTGTGACTCTATGAGCAGACCTCTTCAAAAGAAAAGGGGAAGAAACAAAAGTGACTGTGGGAAACAGTGACTTTTCAAAAATCCTAATAGGAAAGGAAGTACCTGTTTGCGAAGTGACAAACTTATCTAGGCAATGTCCACTTTCACCTCTTAAGAAGTATAACCATGCCCTCTTAGGACAGGATGCGAGAGAGAATGGCTGAGAGGTTCACCATGGAGCTGAGGGCAGAGGGGAGTGGTGCAAGACTGGGTGGCTGTGAGGCGGGAGCGCCCGGACAGAGCAGCAGAATGTCTGGGTATCCTCCGCTTGACAAACAAGACCCTGTAATGGACGGGCTCCCTGAGCTGAGAGTACTTTCAGGGATAAACACTGAAAATGTCAGTTTAGCTTCCTCCTCGACTCCACTTCTCCTCCCAAATGATCTCTAAACCTAACTGTCTAAATTTAGGTAGAAATATTTTAACATGGGTTCTAGTCCTTAAATTTATCAAAATTTCAACCATACACTCTCTATCTGATTTAGATACATTTTAGCCTAAACAGAACCAAAGTAAAAACTATACTTACCTTATACTCTCTATGCCACATTTCGGGTCATATGGAGGCAAGTTATTGGCCATAATAATTCCTAATAACTGAATTCCTACAGAATTGTCTTTAGAATTAGGATCTTTACTAGAAAACTTTTCAAATATTAACCTGAAACATAAGCACAAAAGAAAAAATACAGTTTGTCATACAGTAAAATGAGAAACAGTAGGACAAATGTATCTATAAATTTTCTAAGGCAAAATTTCAAGCCAGAAGTACTTTTTCTTTCCCACATATAACACCCCTTTTGGCTAACTTCCCCCTTGTTCATCCACACTGTTTTCGTTTTGTAATTCAAGCAAATCTATATTTCTTATATTCTAATAATTTGCCCACATTCTCCCTTAGTCGATAGTAAAACCTCTGAGCTTGTCTCAGCCTATGCTAAAAGGAAACAAAGAGGCCTTGAGATGCACCACCCGCTGAGGCAGTGACAGGCACCCCCAGGGGCCCAGCATGGCACAGTCAATGTGGGGGAACCCAGAGGAACTGATGATAGAGCGACAGCTACCATCCTGCCCAGACAAGCTACTAGTGTCAGACTTCAGAGGTTGTGGTTTTATTAGTAGCAATATCATACCCTATAGATTCTATTTCAAATTATGTGCATATCCATATTTCATATAAATAACTTTCATTATAATCACCATTTACAGCATGCTCCATTTTAACCTAAATTTCTAAACAATGTTGCAAAAACTAGTAAATGTATACCTGTAAGGGATGGATAAACAGTCCTTCCAGCATTCAACAAGCGTTTTTATAATTTCAAGGTTGTGTCTAAACACAGCTCTTTTTTGATGAAACACATGTTTCATTAAGAAATGAAGCAATCGATTTGCTAACACCTCATCTTTAGGGACCCCCTGAGAAGGTATAGAAATTCTGTATTAATATGCAGCATTCCATTCAGGAGCAGCGTTTTTAAATCCAAAAGTCCATTCATAAAAGAAATCAGAGATTCTACATCAATGTTTTCCAATGGTTCCTAAGTTAACTAAACTCTTTATTTTTTTCATGTTATTAGGCACAGTACAAATGGTTTTATCACACTAGAACAGAGAAATCTAAATTTAGTTTGCTGTGAATAAACGCGATAGACACACCCAGACACAAACATGCGGAAAAGCTATCTGTGCACATATTATGTTTAGTAAGGACTGTTCCCAGGGAAGCCTGATGTGAAAGCTTTGGTACATTATTATTTTTAGTGGTTTTAAATGAATGGGCACTGCTCCCACGCCACCCAGGCTGGTAGACACCACATGCTAGCTCCACACCACAGAGAATGGCTCATTTGGCAGCCGCCTCTTCTGCCACCTCCACCCTCATGGATCACGGTCAATGCTCTGGAAGGAAATGGGCTGGCAAGACAGATGCCAAATACCCAGGGACTCCAGTCACAGCAGAGGTCCTCACAACATTCATGGTCTGTTGTTGTTGTTAGCTGCCGTCAATACAGCCCCCAACTCATGGCAAGCCCATGCACAACAGACAAAAAAAAACACTGCCTAGACATGCATCATCCCTGTGATTGGGTACAAATCAGACTATTGTGATGTATAGGGTTTTTGTTGGCTGATTTTTCAGAAGTACGGCACCGGGCCTTTCTTCCTAATCCATCTTAGCCTGGAAGCTCTGCTGAAACCTGTTCAGCATCATAGCATACTGATATCTATTTTACACATCATTTAATAAATTAGTTGCCTAGTTTCTATGATCCTAGCAAGCAAAAGCAAAAAAAAGAGAAAAAAAAAATATCTGCCAGTGTAATAATAAAAGCCAGGTGAGAAGAATCATGAAAAGCAGACAAAACCAAACCAAAGCAGTATGAGCCATTAAGTATAGGTGCACCACAGCACTGTAATCACTAATGCTGAAGATGCAGAGTTTGAGTCATACGGTCTACTTAGGATATCAGCAAAGGAAACAATGACAAAAATAAAAATTACCGGAAGGTAAAGTTTACACTTAAATGAAAATTAATTTCATTTCCTTGCAATGTCAGAAATATAAAACATTATTTTCTAAGGAAAGCAAATACTCTCTGATAGCAAAAGCATCAAACTGATTCTTCTGTAAGCTCTATTTAGATGTTAAATGTAAAGATTAGGCTATTCAATTTTAAAATGTTTATACAACCCAAAAGAACTGTTGGGAAAAGCAATGGTACAGATAAACAATCTTTTACTACACAGAAGAGATTTATCAATTCTTACTACAGGAGTAGCTACGCCTGTCCATGACAAAACAGTGACCACTATCTCAACCACCATGTAGTGAATTCCTTCTCCTCCGTTATTTTCAGAAACAACCAGCTGCAGCAAGGGGCTCAGCCAGTGCTGTGCATAAGGGCGAAACACCTAGAAGAGAAATTAAAAGTCAAATATCAAAGATATGTCTTGAGAATAACCAAAATATGAATTCAAGAAGATATCCTCCATCACCTAAACTTTTGTATTATGACTTGACCTAGATCCAAGACAAATATAAATTCCAACAATTACCCTGCTTACTAAGATTAGATTCTCTATTGAATTCTTTATTCATGTGCCCCTGAAACCCACAATTCAATGGAAATGGATTTATTCTTGATCTTTTCCTCGCTTAAAACTTTCCTAATCTAACAATACTTGTAGAGACCAAATGAAAGTGTTCCACACAACCCTCTGTGTCCCATCTGAGTAATATGCAGCTCTAGGAAATTCTACTATAATTTTTTTTTGGAAAAGCATGAGGCATATGAAAATGAGGACATAAAAATGGAGGAAGCATGTAGCTAATGTTTTTTTAAATTTCTTTCTATACTACAGGAAGTCATTTTGCTAAAGACTTCATATACCTGAGATCTCTGAAATCTAAATAAAAGGCATCCATGGACTAAAAATTTTTTTTTTTTTTAAGACATTACAAGAGAATGTCATTTTCATGCAAAGGAACAGCCTAAAGTATAATCCAAGCTACCCATCTTCTTAACCTTCGTCTTCTTTTCCCACATATGTTTCTTCAGTGATTTCTCATCTATTCTCACAATCTGAATGTCTGTGGCCTCAAATCTTTTTGATCATGGACCTCGACAGGAAAAAAAAATTCACACACTCTACATACACCATCTACTGGTTTATTTATAAATTACACATATACAAACCTTTTTACTATATTATTAAAATATAATGCATATATAAATTTAAAGGTTGAAATTATAAAAGTAAATGTAAATAAAAGTTATGATCTCTTCCTGCATAGCCCATGGACTGTCCAAACCATCTCCTTTGGAATCCCTGCCTGATGGTCCCTGAGACACCCATGTGTTCCCATGGAGCTGAGGCTTCCTGTCAATATCCAGCTACCAAGAAATCACTCATAACACTAACAGACTAGCACATACTAGCACATAAGCTAGAAATCAAGCAAGACTGAGGAATGCAGCCCCCAAGGTGATGGATCCCACCTCCCTGACATCTCTCATTTAGATTTGCTGGGCTGAAGCCCCAGCTTAGCTTCTAATCTCTCACCTAGGTACAATGGCCTTATCTCCAGGCTCATCCCCGTCTTCAGTGCTGCCTAGAAGGACCATTCTATCAGGCAAATTTGACCTAATGCCCATGAGGCACTTCCTACTTCTTTGAAGACAACCCTTTCTATGGTCTTGATGAACAGGGATGTATGGTAGGGAGACCTGTGGCAGAGCCTACCTGTCTCAGGGGCCCAAAAGGGCTGGCTTTGATCACAGTATGCCTCCACTTGAGATGGAACACCCCATCCACTTCACGATTAGCTCAAGGGTGTCTCAAAAATTGGCCCCACCCCCCACCAGCGGAATGTACTCCTACTTGACGTGGTCCTCTATGTGGACAAACTGCTAATTCAGTAACGATCTAAGAGAGTCAGGTATTGTTTATAGAGCGTTCAGAGTTATTTTCACCAACTTTTTTACTATTACAAACAAAGAAAGCTGGCAGCCATAGGTTACCAACACATGTGCTTTATAAAATATCATTTATAACTCAGTGGCAGTTAATTTACACATGGGTTAAAAGAAAATGTTAAGAGAAAGAAGTGAAATACAGCTAGTTGATTTATTCACAGAACAAAAATGCCATGCTCAATCCCTGTACATCTTCCTTCACTGTGTTCTTTTTGCCAATAATTTTCAAAGAAATACTAAATTACTCACTTCTTCTGAATTAACAACAAGTTTGGCTAAGAAGAGACGAATATTTAATGGTACTGATGGATTTGCTAGTTTGTCATGAAGAAATTTCATCCAAGGAGGAAGACTGCTTGGCACTAAACCCTAAAATAAAACATTCAAAATTACCTTAAAAAGTGGAATAAAATAACAACAAATAAACAATAAGAGGAAAGTAAGATGACAGCAATGCAAAATTGTGTTTATTTCTGTGGAATTTGGTTTAGTCTTCATGATCAAAAGCTCATGTTAATAGGAAGGCCAAGAGGGAAGAGAAGATGATCTTGGAAGGAAAGTACCTCCTCTACCCTCGGGGTGACCTGACTCCTCTGCATGTGCTTGACCAGGGCTGTCAGAGGGGCCATGCACTCATGCTGGTTGAGCTCATCCATCTCCAACTCCATGAGCTCACCCCTGCCCATGGGCTCCTGACGATCCTATGAAGAAGGGAGAACGCAGAGAAGTGAAATACACTGCTTAGCAGCCAATGTACATGACATCAAGACTTTAAGAAACAGCACATAACAGTACTTATATAATAATAATAATTTAGTAATAAGTTATAAAACAAAACAAAAAAATCATTGCTGTTGAGTCGATTCTGACTCATAGCCACCCTACAGGACACAGTAGAACTGCCCGATAGGGTTTTCAAGGAATGACTGGTGGATTCGAACGGCCAACCTTTTGGTTAGCAGCCAAACGTTTAACCACTGCTCCACCAGGGCTCCAACATGAAATTATTCTCCGCACGTTTTCTTATTAAACAACTCAAAAAATTACCATAACCTCGTGTCTTTCTAACAACCAGGTGTATATTTTGCCCCCGAGCCCTGTATGCACAGTTACTCTCTGTGGTCACACCCAACATGTTTGTGTGCATACTCTCTGTGGTCACATCTGACCTCTGTGCGCGCAGTAACTCTCTGTGGTGACACGCAACCCCTGTCTCTGTGGGCACTCTCTGTGGTCACATTCAAACCTCGTCTGTGCAGGCATGCTCTGTGGTCACACCTAGCCCATCTGTGCGGACACTCTCTGTGGTCACACCCGACTACTGTATGCAGTCACTCTCTGTAGTCACACTTGACCTCGTCTGTGCAGGCACTCTCTGTGGTGATACCTGACCCCTGTCTGTGTGGGCACTCTCTGTGGTCACACCCAACCACTGTGTGCAGTCTCTGTAGTGACACCTGGCCCCCTCTGTACGGGTACTCTCTGTGGTCACACTTGGCCTCTATGCGGGCACTCTGTGGTCACACCCAACTAATGTGTGCACACTCTCTGTAGTCACACCTGGCCCCATCTGTGCAGGCACTCTCTGTGGTCACACTCGACTACTGTGTGCAGTCACTCTCTGCAGTCACAACCAGCCTCGTCTGTGTGGGCACTCTCGGTGGTCACACCCGGCCTCTGTGCAGGCACTCCCTGTGGTCATACCCAACCACTGTGTGCAGTCTCTGCAGTCACACCTGACCCCATCTGTGCAGGAATTCTCTGTGGTCACACTTGACTACTGTGTGCAGTCACTCTCTGTGGTCACACCCGACCTGTCTGTGTTGGCACTTCCGTGGTCACACCCGACCACGGTGTGCACACTCTCTGTAGTCACACCCGACCCCGTCTATGCAGGCACTCTCTGTGGTCACACTCGACTACTATGTGCAGTCACTTCATGTAGTCGCACCAGATCCCTGTCTGCACAAAGAGGGAACAAGACAGTATATGTCAGAGTAACTAGAAAGGGGAAATTTAGAAGTAATCCTAGGTTGGAATCAGATGTACCCCTCTGAACTCATGGTTTTATATATGCATATATATTTATAAAGGAGACCTGGTAGCTTGGTGGTTAAGAGCTTGGCTGCTAACCAAAAGGTCAGCAGCTCGAAACCACCAGGAGTTCCTTGGAAACCCCATGGGGCAGTTTTACTCTGTCCTATAGGGTTGCTATGAATCAGAACTGACTCAATGACAACGGGTTTATATGTATAAGGGAGCCCTGGTGGCGCACTGTTTGAAGTGCTCAGCTGCTCACCAGGAGGTCAGTGGTTCGAACCCACCAGCTGCTCCATGGGAGAAAGATGTGGCAATCTGCTTCCGTAAAGATTTACAGCCTTGGAAACTCTATGGGGCAGTTGTATTTTGTCCTATAGGGTATCTTTGAGTCAGAATCAACTCTACGGCAATGGGTTTGGTTATCTGGGTTTTATATATATAAATAGATAAATACAGAAATAAATACAGTCACAAGTATACCTCTGTGTGTGTAAACGTGTGTATATATGTGTACATATTTCCTGTCTCTGTCCTTTAGTTCTGGAAGCAGCATCCCACCACTCCCATCCAAAGAACAGGGCTTGCTAGAGAAATGTCCATTCCAAGGCCAGGGCAGACAGAGGAGAATAACCTCAAACAAGGGCCTAAAGAACGATACAGACATGTCAAAAGGATACGGGAATATACTTTCAAGATAAAGCACTCAACAAGAAAGGACTAGAAGGGAAATTCCTGAATATAATAAAAGGCATCTAAGAAAAACTCACACCTAACAACATACTCGGTGAAGAAAGACTGAGAGTGTTCCCATTAAGATCAGGAAAAAGACAAGGATGTCCACTCTCACCACTGCTATTCAACATTGTTCTAGAAATCCTAACCAAAGAAATTAGGAAAGAAAAAAATAATAGGCATCCAAATCAGGAACGAAGAAGTAAAACTATCCCTTTTCACAGATGACATGATTCTATGCATGCTGTTGTTGTTGTTAGGTATTGTCAGGTCAGTTCTGACTCATAGTGACCCTATGTACAACAGAACGAAATACTACCTGGTACTGAGCCACGCACACAATCATTGCTATGTTTGAGCCCATTGTTGCAGTCACTGTGTAACAATCCATCTCACTAAGGGTCTTCCTCTTTTTCGTTGACACTCTACTTTACCAAGCATGATCTCCTTCTCCAGGGACTGGTCCCTCCTGATAACATGTCCAAAGTACGTGACAAGAAGTCTCGCCACCCTGGCTTCCAAGGAGCAGTCTGGCTGTACTTCTTCCGAGACAGACTTGTTCATTCTTCTAGCAGTCCATAGTATATTCCTTATTCTTCACCAACACCATAATTCTAAGGCGTCACTTCTTCTCCAGTCTTCCTTATTCATTGTTGAGCTTTCACATACATGTGAGTTGACTGAAAATACCGTGGCTTAGGTTAGGTGCATCTTAGTCCTCAAAGTGACATGTTTGCTTTTCAATACTTTAAAGAGGTCTTTTGCAGCAGAGATGCCCAACGCAATGCATCCTTTGATTTCTTGACTGCTACATCCATGAGCATTGATTCTGGATCCAAGTAAAATGAAATCCTTGACAACTTCAATCTTTTCTCCATTTATCATGATGTTGCTTATTGGTCTAGTTGTGAGGATTTGTTTTCTCTGTGTTGAGGTATAATCCATATTGAAGGCTGTAGTCTTTGATCTTCATCAGTAAGTGCTTTAAGTCCTCTTCACTTTCAGCAAGCAAGGTTGTGTCATCTGCATATCACAGGTTGTTGATGAGTCGTCCTCCAATCCTGATGCCCCATTCTTCTTCATACAGGCCAGCTTCTCATGTTATTTGCTCAGCATACAGACTGAATAAGTACTGTGAAAGGATACAACCCTGACGCACACCTTTCCTGATTTTAAACCATGCAGTATCCCCTTGTTCTGTTCGAACGACCATCTCTTGGTCTACGTACAGGCTCTACATGAGCACAATTAAGCATTCTGGAATTGCCATTCTTCACAATGTTATCCCTAATTTGTTATGATCCACACAGTCAAATGCCTTTGCATAGTCAATAAAACGCAGGGAAACATCTTTCTAGTATTCTCTGCTTTCAGCCAAGATCCACCTGACATCAGCAGATATCCCTCATTCCATGTCCTCTTCTGAATCCGGCTTGAATTTCTGCCAGTTTCCTGTTGATGTACTGCTGCAATCACTTTTGAGTCGTCTTCAGCAAAATTTTACTTGCATGTGATATTAATGAGATTATTTCATAATTTCCACATTCTGTTGGATCACCTTTCCTTGGAATGTGCACAAACATGGATCTCTTTCAGTCGGTTGGCCAGGTAGCTGTCTTCCAAATTTCTTGGCATAGACGAGTGAGCACCTCCAGCGCTGCTTCTGTTTGTTGAAACATCTCAACTGGTATTCCATCAATTCCTGGAACCTTGTTTTTCGCCAATGCTTTCAGTGCAGCTTGGACTTCTTCCTTCAATATATCGGTTCTTGATCACACGCTACCTCCTGAAATGGCTGAATGTTGACCAACTCTTTTGGGTACAGTGACTCTGTATATTCCTTCCATCACCTTTTGATGCTTCTAGCTTCATTCAATAGTTGCCTATAGGATCCTTTGATACTGCAACTCAAGGCTTGAAGTTTTGATTCTGTTTTCTCTGTTTGAGAAATGATGAGCATGTTTTCTTTTTGGTTTTCTAACTCCAGGTCTTTGCACATGTCATTATAATACTTTACCTTGTCTTGAGTCGCCCTCTGAAATCTTCTGTTCAGCTCTTTTACTTCATTATTTCTTCCATTCACTTTATTTGCTCTACGTTCAAGAGCAAGTTTCAGAGTCTCTTCTGACATCCATTTTGGGCTTCTCTTTCTTTCCAGTTTTTTTAACGACCTTTTGCTTTCTTCATGCATGATGTCCTTGATGTCATCCCACAACTCATCTGGTCTTCAGTCATTAGCGCTCAGTGCGTCAAATCTGTTCGTGAGATGGTCTCTAAATTCAGGTAGGATACACTTAAGGTCATACTTTGGCTCTCATGGACTTGTTTTAATTTTCTTCAGCTTCAACTTGAACTTGCATATAAGCAATTGATGGTGTGTTCCACAGTCGGCCCCAGCCTTGTTCTGAATGATGATACTGAGCTTTTCTATCGTCTCTTTCCACAAATGTAGTTGATCTGATTCCTGCGTTATACACTTGGTCAGGTCCATGTGTATAGCTGCTCTTTATGTTGTTGAAAAAATTATTTGCAGTGAAGAAATCGTTGGTTTTGCAAAATTCTATCATGCAATTTCCAGCACTGCTTCTATCACCAAGGCCATATTTTCCAACTACCGATCCTTCTTTGTTTACGTCTTTCACGTTCCAATCACCAGTAATTAACAATGTATCTTGAACGCATGTTTGATCAATTTCAGACTGCAGAAGTTGGTAAAAATCTTCAATTTACTCCTCTTAGGCATCAGAAGTTAGTGAATAAATTTGAGTAATAGTTGTATTAACTGGTCTTCCTTGTAAGCATATGAATATTATCCTATCACTGACAGTGTTGTACTTCAGCATAGATCTTGAAATGTTCTTTCTGACAATGAACACAACGCTATTTCTCTTCAATCTGTCATTCCCGGCACAGTAGACCACGTGACTGT